GTGTTTGAGAAGATCCTGAAGAGCAAGAAGCTGCCACCAGCAAAGCAGGTAAAAGCCTGCAGGGCTCAGATGCTGAGCTTGCCATGGTCTGGGGCCCTGGAACAGTGTGTCCCCCAGGTGATAACAACACAGAGCCCTGTCGAGGCACTGATGATGTTCCACAATAGCTCCACAGTATCTCTGTGGATGGGGAGGTTCTCAGCCTCCCTCAGATGTGTGGAAAGTGGGAGTGCTCTGTGTCCAAGCATCCCATCTGTTTAGAGAGTTTCTCAGTCTGGAAATCATTAAAAATGGTCCCAGGGCAGAGCAGCTCACAGGCATTGTTCTCTTCAGCTGAGTCGCTTGGGAGAGGTTTCTCTCTTGGTCCCACTGTAGGTCCTGCCTCTGCTCTGCAGCCTGCTAACCCACTGGGCATAAAAAAAGCACTTGTACTCCATATAAATCAAAAACTCCACTGCCAAAACCTCAGGGCCTTTAGAGAAGGAGTGTGAGGAGGAAGGTGACAGGAGTATAAACAGGCTTTTCTCTTCTGTTTTAGATTCTGGACTCTCTGGGACTGGGTCCCTTAGGGCCTCCCATTCCCCCTGGCTCTCTTTTCTCTGTGGTCCCCTACCCAGAGGAGGACAGGGTCCCCGCAGCAGCAGAAGACTTCAGACACTTCATCCTTGTTGAACCTGAAGGTGCTGCTGCAGAAGATGATGTGGTGGGTACTCCTTTTGTGCCTTCAGTGAGGGTGCCAGGGCAGGGAACAGGTTGGATGGAAAAGGGTCACCGTGGAGGGGCAGTGAAGACGTGATGGGGCCCCATGTCTGCAGGCATCCTTTCCACCAGGGATGAGAGAAAAGAGACAGCTCTGCTAGAGACATAGAGCAGTTCTGTAAGACAACAGGAAAAAATTCACTTAAACCCATCAACTTGCCTTGATGAGAGGGTCCTCAGTGGGGAGAGGGTCCTGGGTAAGGAGGGGTGTCCAAGGCAAGACACAGACCAATAAGGAAGACCAAGTTCATGGGCAGGTGGTGATTATTTATTCTCTCTCCTGTTGGCTAACAAACCCCATTCTGCTTTCCAGGATGGGGGTGTCTCAGGGCAGGTCCGCTGGATCGTTCCTGCCCACGGCGAGGTGGAACTGAAGATCCGCTTCAGCACCACAGTGCCAGGGCAGTTTGACCAGATGATGAATTTTGAGATCCTGGGGTCAAAGCGCCTGTACCAGTTGCCCTGCAGTGCCACTGCCCTGTACCCCAGCATCAGCCAGAACCCATGGTAAGGCTGGGCCACAGGAGCATCCCACACTGCTTCCCCTGACCTCAGAGCCAGGGCTGCCCCTTGTGATCTTCTGGCTGGGGCAGATGGTGCTGCCTGAGTCACCCAGCATCTCTTCCTCTGCTGGGAGCTGGGAGGCTGAACTGGTACCTCAGCCACCAGGAGGGGTGATGGCTTTCTGACTAGATTTCCTACTTGCTCAGAGCTCCTCATTCCCCATTTTCTCTGCCCAGGCTGGTGTTTCCTCGCTGCAGGAAGAGCAAGGAGAAGGAGGACATCATCGTCAAGGAGTACGTCATGAGCACAAAGCAGTTCTACTTTGGACCGCTGCTTTGTGGCAAGTCAAGAGAGTGGTATGTGCTCCCTGCTCCCAAGTGAGCATCCCTGTGTGCTGCCTGTACAGACTGAGATGTCGGGAGGGGTCTTCTGGTGCCGCCTCCTGCTGCCAGCACACAGTGCTTTCCTCGGTGTGTGGTGAGGGCAACAGTCTCCTCTGCAGCCTTTTCCCCTTCTCTGGACAGGTACAAGGCACAGAACTGCCCTGACAACATCGAAAAGTTAACCATCCTCAATGACTCCCCCATGGAGGCAGAGGTCCATTTCTCCTTTGAGAATGACAGCAAAGGAGAGACATTCCTTTTGGACCCTCCCAGTATGAGGCTGCAGCCCAAAGAGAAGAAGGTAGGAGGTGAGAAGGTAGGGCAGGCACCGTAGAAGTGCCGTTCCTCCTGCTCACGGAGGGCTCTTTGTATTTCTTTTTGTGGGGACGGATTCAGAAGCTGAGTATTTGGGCGTACCCGACTTCCACTGGCCTCATGGAAGACAGTCTCATCTGCCACATCAAGGACAACGCGGAGCCAGTGGTCTTCCGACTGTGCTGCGAAGGGGTGCATGTGAAGCTGGAGGTCAGCCCCCAGGAGCTGCAGTTCAACAAGCTTCTTCTGCACAGGTCAGTCATCCCATGGCTGAGGGCACTCCAAGGCTTGTGACAAAGAGAAGAGGTTTCACTCTGGTTCCAGAGGCTCAGATGGAGCTGCTTCGAGCTGCATTCAATGGCGAGACTGGTGTGAACACCAAGCAGCTGACACTGTCTTCCTGTCTCTGCAGGACTGACACCCAGACTCTAGTCCTCAAAAACGACAGCCCACTGCCCATGGCATGGCATCTGAGTGGGCTGGAGGACCTTGGCGATGAGTTTTCTGTGTCACAAGGCAGGGGCATCGTTGGCCCCCGCACAGACTTCAAAGTTAACGTGGATTTCAAGGCTGAAAAGATTGGCATGACAAATAAGATCATCCGATTGGAGGTGAGAGAGACTTGGGCCTTCCTGGCAGAGCAGGGCAGAGCAAGCAGCTGAGTGCTCTTAGGGACAGAGTCAGGAAGAGCTGCACCTGACAGACACGGGGGTGCTGTGGCCCCAACTTTTGACTCAGTGCTGGGTTGGCCGGGTGCCCAGGCTCTGCATCTGGAGCCTGTACCACAGCTACCTTACTGCTGTGCAGGCTTGAAGGCTGTTGTTTGGTTGTGCAGACCAGCATTCACTCTGGACCCTTTCTGGGATTTTGTTCCCTGTGGTTTAGAGGCTGCATTTCAGTAAGCATGCGAGGTGATTGAAGAGGAGGGCGCTAATTGTCAATGCCACCTGCTCTGGGACACCTCACATTTCTTGTGGTTGTGTTTACAGCCCTGGCCCTCTCAAGGGTGCTTTAGCAGCACCATTCCCTGCTGTGGGAGTGCAGAATTGGGCTGATAAGGTTTCTTACTGCAGCAGAATCCCACCAGGGCAGCCTGTGAGAGGGACAGGTTAGGAAAGCTTGGGAGTCCACAAACACTTGTCAAGCCAGGGAGGCCATGGGGGAAGCAGCTGGCAGAGACAAGGACTTAGAGGCTGTCTTCCAAAAGAGTGGTCTAAGCAGTGTTTGTTTCTTGCTGCCTCAGGTTTCAGATGCAGAAAACATCCTGGGCATTGTTCATGCAGAAACTATCAAAGTCTCTGTGGAGGTCTATGATGTTAATCTGAGCATCGACATGCCTGAAGGTCAGTGGATGCCTCCCAGACAACACAGTCCAGGTGCATTTTACTACCTTAGCAAGTGGGCAACCAAAGCCCTTGGGAGGGGATGGCATAGCAGGCAAGGGTGGCACAGATCCATAAAGCACATACCTTGCAAGCTGTGTGAAGTAAAGCACTGTCAGGGCACCAACAGCCTTGAGTCTCTCCCTTCTGAACTTGGAAATATGCAGCTTCATGTGCAGATTGCATTTGGTGCTTTGAAACAACAGTCATCTGAACAGGCAGTTGGCAATGCCCAAAGGCTCAGCACAGCACATAAAGCAGTTGGATTTGTGCTTGGAAGCAAGGAAATGGAAACCAAGCTCCTTGGCTTCTACCCTGCAGATACTTGGGAGTAAGAAGAGAAAGGGCAGCCAAGTAGCTAGAGAACACTTCCGAGAAGGGACACTTGCTCAAGAGGGTTTTGTGCCATACAAGAACTCCAACTGTGTAGCTTGTGACCGGGTGTGCTCTGCAGCAGCTCACAAGTATTCACCATTTCTTACCTCGCTCTGTGGGTTTTCTGCAGGTCCAGATGGCAGTGTAGAATTTGGAACCATTAATGTCTTTGATAATAAGAAGGAAGTGCTGAGTCTGAAGAACAAAGGCTTATATGACATTGAGTACAGGTGAGTCCAGCTGCCTGGTGCTGAGCTTTTCCTCAGGCTCCCAGGCCTGTGTTCTCCCTCTGTCCATGGCTAGAACCTGTTCCCATGCTGCTCCTTTTTCTTTTTTTTCTGGTCCTATGCAAAGTCCTGGCTGTGCTGGTGGTACCTGTACTTTCAACTGCAGACGTCTTCATTCTCTCCCTTTCTCCACAGTTTCAAGCTGACAACTGGAAGTTCCAAGAAGGGCGACTTGAAATCTCATTTCACTGTCCGGCCACAGAAGGGTGTGCTGAAAGCCTCCCGGCCGAAAGCCTCCCAGCCACCTGTGAAAGTTGAGATCCTCTTCCACCCTATGACCGAAATGCTTCTCAAGAGCAAACCCATCCTGCTCTGCCAGGTGAGCTGCCAGGGCCCGGCTATATTAGCACAGTGTGTCTTGGGAGCATAAGTAGGATAGGTGTCTTTGGCAAAGAAGTTTTTAGCTGGGGCATCCTCTCTCTTACATACACAAACAAAAACTTCCAAAACCATTTCCAGCTCTCTTCATAAGAGAGCTGGAAATCTAGCTCTGGAAGAGGCCTTTAAATAGGGAGGGTGAGCTGATGGAGACCTGGGGTGGGGTCAGGGGACAGGGGTAGAGACTGGCCTCTGCTGTGTTTACCAGCCCCTGCTCTGGTTGCAGGTCTTTGATCCCCAAGTGGGTAAAGGAGGCGAGACCGTTGCCACCATCCCAGTGAGGGTGTCGGCGAGAGCCGTCTACAGCAAGTACAGCATCGAGCCTGCCTCGCCCATCGACTTCGGTCTCATCACTAAGGGCACCAAGAAGACCCAGGTCTTAACTGTAGAGAACAAAGGCGCCCTCAACTTCAAATTCTTCATCCACCAAGCACCTCCACTGCAAAGGTAAGAGAAGACCTGCACCAGCCTTTCTTGTCTGAGGAGGCACCACCACACAGCTGGTGTGTGACAGGCAGCCAGACCTGGGTTATTGTCCATTTGGGTCACTGGCTTGGGAGGAGGGAGCAAAAAAACACCTCAGTATCCCCATGTGTGGGACAAAGCTGGTGACAGAGCTGCTCTGTCCATAAGCTGCAGCAATGGGTGCTGCAGGCAGCTCTCCAGGGGCCATCAGGAGCAGGAAGGCTTTCCTCCATGGGGAGGAAGGCCAGCTTTGGCCTCAGACAAAGGCAGGGGAGCTCAGCATGACACATCTCTGCTTTCTCCTCTCAGTTCACAGCAAGAGGAATCTGCCCCCTCGGTCAAGGAAAGAACGCACTCGACACAGGTGGGTGGCTCCTGCTCCTCCCCAGCATGTGATGCTGCAGGGGATGGGGGAGGATGCAGCTCTGCCCAGGCTGGGGATAGGACATGAGGGATAGGACATGATCTGCAGGATGGAGAGTCCATTATCTGCTCAGTTCCACTGACACTCCCATGCTCTGGCTCTGACCTGCAGTTGTGGGGTCAAGAGAGGGGAGCAGGTCCTGTGTTTGGTGGCTGCTAGCCAGCACAGATCTGGGAACACCACAGGAGCAAACTGTCCCCATCTGAACTCCCAATCCGTAGAGCATTGACAGCTTTGCTTTTCCTTCTTTCCAATCCTCTCCCTCTTTCCCATCATTGCTCTCAGTCATTTCTGCTCTCCTGTACCCCTGGAGGTTGAAGGATCCCAGCCACCACCTTCATTCTTTTCACCAAACTCCTTCCTCTCTGCCACTCAGGACAGACGTGCAGCTCCTCCTGGCTTGTTCATCTCATCCCGGGGCTGCCTTTGGGCCGTGGAGTCATCCTTCCCTGCCCTGCCACTGGGTGCTTGGGCCCAGCTGGAGGCCAAGGCATGGCATCCTCCTTGCTGGGGGCGTTCAGGGCACGGCTGTTGGGCATCAGCCTGTCCTGGTGCTCTTTCTGCAGGCTCAGCTCACTGTAGGCATGTTCACCGTGTCCCCTTGCTCCGGCTCCGTCGGTCCTTGGGGCAAGCAAAACATCACAGTGGATTGCAACGCAGGAGCAGAGGGGAAATGTGAGGAGAAGCTGTACATTGACATCAGCAACAGAGACCCCAAGGACAATCCCCTCGGCATTCCCTTTACCCTGACTGCCGAGTCCTGCTTCCCAGGTACGTCCTGTCCGCAGGTTGCCATGGGCAGTCCTGCTGCTGATCAGCACCTAAACTTGCGACTTGGATAGAGAGGCACCCTGGTCCTGAAGTCCCAGCTTAAAATCCTCAGAGGTTGCAGTCCTTTTCAAGTCCACCAGTGGGGAGAGGCTGGAAGGGATGTGTGGAAGCATAAAAGGAAAGCAATGCCCTTTAAGACTGAGGTTGACTGAGCTCCATCCTCACTGACTGAGCTCTCTCATCCAAGGCTGGGTTTTGCAGTCACCTGGGCAGAAAGGGCTTATCAAGCCTTCTGAGAGGCCAACTGAGTCCAGGTAAATTCAGCAGAGGCTTCTCCAGCCTCAGCCCTCCCTCTGGTCTGTCTGCAGCACTTGTTGAAGACATCACATCCATCTTTGAGAAGTACCCGATCCACAGCAACGTCAATCTCCACCAGACGTTACAGTCAGTGCAAGGCAACGGTGTGTTCATCAAAGATGACAACAAATTCATCTTCACCAAAGTTGTGGTTGGGCAACGGGCCACAGCTCGCTTCAAGATCTCTAATGCCAGCAGGCTCCCATGTGATGTGGTCCTCTCCATCAAAGCCTTGCCTGGAGAGGTAAGAACAAGAGGCCAAGGTGAGCGCTGCTCTCTAAAGGCCATGTGAGAGCCTGCCTTGTTCTCCAGAGTCATTGCGTTCTCTGGCCCAGCTGGACTAGTCTAGCTCAGTGCAGGTCGAACTGCAGGGCAGAGCAGCAATGCCAGGGGGGCACTTGCATTGAATTCCACATCTCTCAAGCAAATTTTGGCTCATGCTTCTGGTCTTTGGTGGGAATCCTGAACATCTCTTGAAAGCACACTCAGAGAGGGGCTGTTATGGCCTGATTGGACAGAGCTCAAAGCAGAGCATTTCCTGGCTTTTCCTTCTCTTGAAAGGCCAGTCCGGGGTTATTTGCAGGGTTTTCCATGCTGCCCCAACCTCCCACATGTGTTGGGGTGGCTGCCCAGCCATCAAAGCAAGCTTTTGTATGCCTGGGCATTAGCGCAAGGTCAGCATCCCCTGGGATGGAGGAGCCTGCCCAGGGAAGCATGAAGCAAGACAGGCTGTCTGGGGCTGTTCCCAGGGATGCATCTATGAACGTACTGGGTCACATTGAAAGATGTTTCCTTCTAACACTGCACTGTGGGTTCCCCCCAAGCCTCACAGCCTCATCAGCAACATCTTCAAGTTGGATCCTGTTGAGATGAGGATTCCTGGCTTATCCCACTCCTTTGCTACGGTGACCTTCACTCCAGAACAAAAGGAGGACTACCAGTGTACTTTCAGAGCTTCCGTTGTTATCCCAAAAAGGTGAGTGACCCTGAGAAGTATTGGGGGGGACCGTTCTGGTAGCTGCCTCTCCTCTTGGTACCTCTCATGCTTTCAGTACTCTTAGGCAGAGTACTTGGCATGAGATGATCTGGGAGGCAGTAACTGTTAGGCAGAGCAGAGCAGAAAAATGAGGAGGATACTTCAGCCTGTGTGAGGGACTCTGAAGAGAAGGCCTTAGGTAGCCAGCTGGAAGTTACTGAGAAGTGCAACAGCTGAGCTGGGGCTTTCCAAGGACAAAGGCTTAGATGAAGCGGTTTCTGTGCCAGCAAGTCAAGATTTCCTCCTTATTTCTGTAAAAGGAAGTGATCCTGTGTGGTTCCCTGCATGCATTAAGCTATTTTTATATCAGGGGAGTGATTGGAGCTCTTATCAAAGAGAAGCCCAGTTCCTCTCCCTGGGACCTGTGTACTGGGGCTCTGACCTGCCCTTCCCCAAGCCTTTAGTGGCTGAACTGGAACAGGGAAGTCAGCTTTCTGCCCTAACAAGCAGTTCCTTTTGTAGTATCCTTGGAAATAATCTTTACTGATGATGGTGTTGATTTGGTTTTCCCTTCTTGCCTTTGTTCTGTTTTCATGGTGTGCTTTTGCTTGTTGCATATGTCTCATATCACTGCAGCCAGAGCATTTGCCACGTCTCATCTGGTGCCTCATTATTTAT